AAATTAAGTGTATTTGATATCGATTTTCTTGAATACGGGATTTGTTAAAATTGTACTCGCGGATTCACATTAATGTCCCGTAATTAATTAGTAATTTTACCAGTCATATTAAATTATTTGGTAATACGTTTTGGAGTGAGTAGCAACAGTAATTGTGTGATAACGACATTTAATTTATCCACTGCCCGTGGAGTCCATGATGCAACAAGCCCATCTTGAATTACTATCCTGTAAATTTTACCAGGGGCCGGTCGGTTGGATTTATCTGGTTGGGTCACGGTTACATTGTTTTTGTTATTTGTGTCATTTTGATTACCTATAGGTAATAGTTGCCATGGAATGGTATATTTTTACCATAAAATGATATATTGTTTTATGGTATTTGTTAATCTATTAAAGTTTGCCGACAAATGAGGCATAATAGACAATGGCGGACCTGCAGTTGAAGCGATCTCGGGCCTTGATAATTATTTACTCCTTTTCCAACAGTTTATTGAGCCTGAACTCTAATAAATATTACATGAAAATTTATGTAATGGTAAACTTAAATTCAACAGTAAATAATAATACAAAAACTTTATTTGGATGATGGAGGCCTATTGCAAACGGAATGCTTGATGAATAAAGTTAAATTTAAAATACAAAAATAGAGACTAAGACTCAATCTACTTTCACCAAACAAACAAACAAATAAACAAACAAATCAGCAAAAAGCGAAGATAAAAATTAAAAATGAAAAACGAGAGCTAAGCTCTAGTATGATGTATTATTTATCTAATGTTATTTATATATTTATTTATATTTGGGTTGTAGTCGCAGTAAGGAGATATTGTGTGGTTTTAACGGTTGTAGGAGGTCCTTTTCTTTCAGAGTTTACTAAGTTAAATGTGGTTTGGGTTGCGGTTATTTTTGTTGCTCTATGCAAATAAATATCATTATTGTTTGTTATAAATTGTAAATATTTTATACGTAACTCACTCCCATAATCCCTCATTTTGGAAGGTTTTATGAGCGATATTAAATAAAAAAACACCTTGATATATTTATTTTTGTGGAACATATGTATTTAAAAAAAAACATTGCAATTTCCAATATTTTTTCTGTATGAAGAACTAAGGTCCATCCATAGCCTATGGAGGATGACAGTGACAGTCCTATCCCATACTTGGACATGTCATATACAGCTTTCGAAAGCTATCAAATTGATTTTTGTAAATTAATGTGTTAATTTTGAGGTGTCTTCTTAATTTAAAAAATGTCACGTAATACTGTGACCGTCCATCCTGGATTAAATTAATAGCTCTGGCAACATCAGTCGGAGACATATCCATGTATGACATGTCCAAGTATGGGATGATTCAACAAAACTGTCACTGTCATTCTCCATAGCCTATGGATGGACCATAGCAACCTTAGTTCTTCATACAGAAATTGCAATGTTTTTTTAAAAATTCATCTTTTCCACAAAAATAAATATATCGAGGTGAACCAAAAACAAAACTTAAGAATAGATGTGACTTGATAAATAATTAATTTAGAACAATATACGGTTTTGCCACTCTACAGAGTGTCTTAAACATATTTTTGTTTATTTTATTATAAACGTACGTCTATTTTTTAGTAATTTTTTAAAATGTGAGCGATTCTCCATTAATTTATCTACAATATTCTTTAATATTCGTTTAAATCCGTCATCAAATAAAAAAGTTATTTGCGATTGAAATTCATCGAAAATTTGTTTGGATCGATTATTTTGCCTGTGAGTGTATTACCAGAAATTTGTTATTGTTGTTATTCGGACTCCTTATACCTATTTAACGAGTGTGCGAAGTGCAAATTATCCGAAAAAAGGTGCCATCACTGGTTTACAGTGAAGTGGGTTATATATTTCGTAACTATAGTTACGAAATACATCAGTAAGGGCCGGTTTTTCAATCATAGATTAAACTTGGTTCAGCATTTGAACTTGGTTCAAACAAAATATACCGTTTTTCAATCAAAGTTCAAGCTTGAATTTGGTTTAAACTAAATCAAAAGATGAACTGTCACTGTTGGCCGTTTAAACGAAGTTCAACTTGACATAACTTAATTTTTCTCCGCTTTATATTGTATATTACGTTGTTTATTACTATATGAATGAAAACAACACTGTTTTAAAGTTTCACTAATTTATTTATGTTTTTAATAATTAACAATTGTTTCGCTACACTGTAGCTTCTTCAGAATTAGTACTTATTTTAACAAGTGGCGGTATTTATATTAACAACAGGCAGGTAATTTGAGAAGATAAATGTTATATAAACATTATACCTGAAGGTAAAATTTATATAATTACATAATTTTGGAAAAACTGAGGGTTTGGGAAATCCTATCTAATATAATATTATAATATTAATAAATATTACTTTTTAGTACTACAAGTACACACTCTAAAATAAATTTAGCAAAGGAGAGCTGTTAGTTTCAATTTGGTCATTAAGAACAATATCAGATTTTTTCTTTAATTTATTAATTTCCAAAGACTCTAAAAGATTTAGTTTGGTACCTTTATTGGCTACATGTAATATTTTAAAGTTATCATCAAATGTGTGGTTCTCTTGTATTAAATGGTTAGCGTATGAAGAATCCTGTTTAAGGTTTATATAGGATAACTTGTGTTCTTTAATTCGTGTATTAAAATTTCTACCCGTTTGGCCTATATATGTTTTCGGACAGTCTCTGCAATTTAGTTGGTAAACGCCAGATTTTGAAGATTTTGATGTTTTATCTTTGTTGTTTTTGATAAACTTACTAAGATTGTTGTTGGTTTTAAATGCTAAATTACTATTAATTTTATTAAAGAAATTAGATACATGTCTCATCTTAGCACCTAGATATGTACAACTATTGTATGTATTCATGGTAATCTTAGATATTGGAAAAACGTTGTTAATGGCTATTTTCTCTTTTTTGTGGTTTAAGATTTTATTAATTAGTTGAGCATCATAGCCGTTGTTAACTGCTATTTGTTTAATTAAGTTTAATTCGTAATTATAATCTTTTTCTGATAATGGAACGTTTAAGAGTCTGTGGACCATAGAGTTAAATGCGGCTATTTTGTGTGAAAAGGGGTGAGAAGAGCTTTTATGTATAACTATATCAGTGTAGCTGGGTTTGTGAAAAATTTTGAATGTGTGGTGTCTATTATTTTTTTGAATTGTTAGATCTAAATAATTAATAGAGTTATTTATTTCTTCTTCCATTGTGAATTTAATTTTCGGGTGTAAGTTATTTATAAAATTCAAGAAAATGTTTAGTTGTCGTTTTGTACCTGTGAAACACGTTAGGATATCGTCTACATATCGGTACGTTGTTTATTTCTTGTTTTGTAATCTGCTGTTATAATAAACCAATGGATATGTTTGAGGTAGTTAGTGAGGATGATGAGGAAATTCGCGAACTCCTAAATAATATTCCACTTCGTGTGCACAGGCCACGGGTAAGACCGAATCATTTTGAAAGGTGGATTAATGATAAATTTTTTGCCAGATTTCGGTTTTCCAAATCTTTTGTACGTAGGATAGTGGATTTAATTAGACCAGTTATTGCAAGTCCGACCAATAGGTTAGTTATAAAAATAACTACTGAATAGGTAATAGATTTTAGTAAAATTCATCACATGTAACAAAAAACGACAAATTCATTTTAAAATATAAAACGAAATACATACAAATAATTCCTCCTTAAAAAGGTAAAGTTGGCAGCACGATTTTTATCCATAATAAATAATAATTATTGTTCTTTAACAATAGTAAATTGTTTTAAAGCACCCTTTCGCACAGATTATAACTTTTTAAAACAGCACAGATAAACAAAACTCCAAAAGTAAACACAAAATCCTTTTGTCAAAATGACAGTTTTAACTACTATTAATGTAGGCGTATACTAAATTCGGTTGTACCAACTTAACGTTGACACCGCTGATCTAAGTTCAACAGAACTGCTGTTGAGTCGACATTGAAAAACTCATTTGACTGTGAACTCAGTTCATTAACTGATCTAAGTTCCCCTGAACCAAGGTTTAAACCCTAATTGAAAAACCGGCCCTAAGTGTTGTAGTAGTACTGATAATTATATTGTACCAAATTTTTTTATAATTTGATGATTTCAGAATGGTTATTTTATTGTGTATGTTATTTTTGTGTTCATTTATGTGGGTATGTGTTAATTTTTTTGTTTAGGAAATTGATTAACATTTACATTAACATTAACATTTCTTATCAAAATTATTTTCATTTAAGTTCCTATTTTTTAACAAGTACTTTTGTTACTGGGTTTACAAAAAGTTTGTAAAAATAAAGTCCTTTTTAAAAATTACAAGAATTATGGTTGAATTATTGAGAGGATTTCGTTATTAAATTTACAGAATGTTTGTTATAATTACAAACTACTTATTTAATTAGTTAACAGATTACAGTTGCAACTGTACAACCATGGTTGTAAACTTAACAAAAAGTTATGTGGACCTGGATTAACATAAAATCTGGTTAATATTTAGTTAAAATTAACAAATATTTTTTTGCTGAGTACCGGCTGGGTTTTTCATTAAAATTTTAAGGATTTGATCACAATAAAACCAATTAGATACTATGCAAAATTAAAAAAAGTTTTCAAACATAAAAGAATGTTTGGTATGAAGATAGTAAATTTAAGTTTGCCTAAGCTTGGATAATATAGACGCAAAGTAAATAACTATCTTATATGGGCCAACAAAGTGCTATAAAATTATGGTGCAATGTTATTAATACGGCGATAGTAAGAAACCCTCGGCGGCGGTTGGCTGGCAATAAACTTGCACGTATAAAATTATCTCGCATTATAAGTACACGGCACGGGAATACTTAAATACACAAACACGTGTGTGTGCCAGTGCAGCGATTGGCTACGGACACATTAACAACTTTGAGAGAAGTTTAAGTTGCTGAAAATACAGACACACGACTCGGGATTTTATACTCTATTCAGCGCTGCATCCAAATTAGCGAGAATGATGAACACGCCACCGCCACCGCCTCTGCCGTTCTTTTGTTATTATTGCCTCGCAGGATTCCCGCCGCATCCTGTCCGTCCGTCCGTACGTCGGCAAATATTATCCTCGACAGGATATTATGTACGGGGATTTCCCTGTTTGCACACCCCCCACGTCCCGTACCGTCCGAATTTACGAGCGGCCCTGCTTCTGCCCGCCTTCAACAATTGTTAATTAAGCCGTCTTTATTTTACGTTTGTCTTACTAATACGTTTTTATTACTGTTTGTCTTATTTTACTGAATTACGACCTTAAACACTTTATAATCAGGTTTAAATTGTTAAAGTTTCGATTGCTAATCATATAATAGGGTGATTCTACAAAAGTTGGGTAACTTTTGACCTCATTTTGTTTATATAGTTTTCGGAGAAAATTAAACAGTATTTTGTTATGAGAACATAGATAATAATAATAATAATAATCATCCAACGGACAAAACGTCCATACAAAGGATGTAACTAATAATTATTAAAGCTAAATAAATACAGCCTAAAAAGGTACATTTTAAGGTAAGGCTCTTATTATTCTAATAAATTGATTTAAAGTTAGGTTGAAAATATCACAATTCTCTCAATTAGATTGTAACTCCGACACATTGAAATTAGAGGGGAATTCCTTCTTTCATTATTATTCGCAGCTTCCACATGAAAAGTTTGGCAATATCTAGAATTTAGTCTTGGAGCATGAAATTTTATTTTTAAGAGGATTTTGGGGCCAAAAATAGTACCATGGACAATTTTATATAGATAAATTAAGCGTGCATTTCTTCTACGTATTTCCAAACTTTCCATGCCAAAGGATATTAAAGCACTAACATGGTCAAAGTTAAAAAATTTAGGTAACACAAATATCTACAAAATTTCCTTTGAATTTTTTCAATATTATCAATATTGATATCATAGAATGGTGACCAAATGACACAGGCATATTCAAATTTACTACGAATATAGTTTTTAAATTCTTTTGTGTTACATATTATAAAACCCAACATTTTGTTAGCTGCCGAAATTATCAAATTTATATGAGGGACAAATGATTAAGATTTATCAAAAGTGATGCCTAAATCTTTAATTGTTTCGACATTCCTTAAATATACATTATTTATTGTATAATTTAAAAAAATATTATTAACTTTTCTGGAAAACCTCATAACGTAACATTTTTCAATGTTTAAATATAATTGATTTTTTTCACACCAGCTATACAAAATATTAAGATTATTTTGTAGGTATACACAGTCATCGTACGTGGTAAAAGCTCTAAATATTTTAAAATCATCAGCATATAGTAAATTTTTTGAACCTATGTCATTTATTATATCGTTAACAAACATTAAGAACAATAATGGTCCAAGATTACTCCCTTCGGTAACGCCACTAATTGCGCAATATACTTCCGATTTACAGTTTTTGTATTTAACATATTGATAGATAATATAATAAATATACTGTTCCAGACCGGGCCAGTCACTTTTTCAAACAGTTTCTGAAATATCTGGGTTTTCTAAATTTGAATGCAAGGGAAGTGACGAGTATACCAGGGTACTAATTAAATACATAATTTATTGGAAAATATAAGATTTATTGCAACTTTAAGCATATTATACATTAAATATCTTAAAATCAAATAATACCACACATCAGTGGCGGCTGGTGGATTTTGGGTATACCGATATCTCAATTATTAATTATGGGGCCCACACCAAATTCATATGAGTTTAGAATATAATAATTAGGGATGGGATATTTAGGTACTAAAAACTGAAAAATAGGTAACTAAAAAGGTACTAAAAAAAAGCATTTTAGGTAAAAAAAAACAGCATTTTAGGTAAAAAAAAACATTAAAAGTTTTAGTTTCGTATATAATTTTGTTTAGCCGCATACCCAAACACAGAACATACCCACAATAAACTATTTCCATGCAATAAACTGTTTTACTGAGTGACACTCACTACACAGAAGTTCTATGACAGAACATAAGCTCACTAGTAGTGAGTCACTACAAAGAAGGTAACTGTAAAGAAAGTTACTGTTACAGTCTGTAACCATAAGAAAAAATTCTATACCGTTGAGTTGCACGCCCTGGATAAAATATTGGCGCAAATTTTAAAAAGAACAAAAAAAATAAAATAAGTAAAAATACGTAAAAATAGGTAACAAATATGTGAAAATAAACTGACAAATTAAAAAATATGTAACAAAAGTATAAAAAGGTAGTTTAAAGCAAAAACCTCCAAAAAAGGTAAAAAAAGTGAAAAAAAGTTTAAAAAAATAGTTAACAAAAGTATAAAAAAGGTAGTTAAAAGCAAAAACCTCCAAAAAAGGTAAAAAAGGTGAAAACAAGTTAGGTTCATATAAAAGAAAATCTTTTAAAACACATTTTGGCATTATTGGTTTTCAAATAGTTACATCGGTTAAAAAAAGGTAAAATAACTAAAATCCCATCCCTAATAATAATTCATAAAATTAATTAAATAAACAAGTTCTGCCCGAGCAGAATTTAAATTGAAGTTTGCGAAAAAATACTGACGACACGGTACTGATCAATGGGATACAAATTTGAGATTATAATTCGGAATTAAGTATTTTACTGATATTTTTTATTAGTGGATGCTACTTATCACCAAATCACCTATAGCCTTATATAAATTACAATAAAATATATATATTTTATTATATATATATTTTATTGTATATATATATACGTAAGAAAAAAACTACTCACCACAGTACTGAAATTTTGACTGGAAATATACGTGCATTCACCACAACTTCGCCGCTTGCATTGTTTTCAAGATGACTGTCGTGCAAAGGGCGGGCTCTGTAGCTAATTTTTTTACCAACACTTGAGTTAAAACGAGGACGACGTTTAAACTTCAATATTTCGCAGGAATTTTGAATTTAAACATTGGAGACAGAACTGACGGGTGAAAGTGAGTACAAAGATTATCAATTTTTTTAAAATTGCTATTATTCGAATCTATGATAAAATATGAAAAATACATTATTTAATCTTTTATAGTTTGTAGTGAAATTGAAAAATTTAAGATAAAATGAATATATTTTAAAATAGAATCACTCAAATATTTGATTCAGGAGTTGTGACACGCCAAGGTACTGATGTTTGGAATATTTATTATGTTTTTCTACAAACGTGCTTTTGAAAAAATACATTAAAATTGGGTGGACAAGTTAAAAAAAACCTGGATCTATTGTAATATACTAAAATATTTACAAAAAAATATTAAAATACCTACTCTATTGACTGATGACATCAAGTTTCACCAAATACTTTCAGTATTTATATTTTATTACCTTAAAAAAACTTGTCTTAACTTTTTAAAGACTTTTAAATAATATTTTAACTTGACATTACAAAACATTATTTTTATAACAGGTGGTAAAACAGTACTTTAATGTGTTCCAACATCAACACAATGAACATTGTCCTATAAAGGTGGTAATTTCAAGAATATTTTGCTTCCGAAATTAATTTATTTTTATTAATTTCATCAGGGAAAATACTATCTCGTGTGTAAGGTAAAAATATAAAAGTATATATAAGCTGTGGTCTATGTTTAAGTTCATTTGTGTGTTACTTATTAAGTAGTGGTATATACGTAACAAAATGTGAACGAGATTTTTTTCAACCAACTGGCTTCTCGGACAGCCAATTTTAAGTTTTACTACAGCACAACTTCCTCGTAGATTATACATATTGTCTTGGAGTAGTTTAATTTTACAATTTAGAAGCTGGGAAGACCTTGCCAAACAGACGTGTGAACTTTTTTGACTATTTGGTACCTATGCAGCGAATTGATTCATGAGTGAGAAAACTTTCAAATATTTAGCTCACAACAAGCACCTTATATGTCAAAGCAAAACAATAATGTGCATGAGTAATATCGAACATTGGTTTGATGTTGCTGCAAAAGACTCTGACCAAAATAAAGAACGTTGACAAAGACGAAGTTTTCCTACAAAATCAAAGAAAAGATTTTTCAAGTAGCATGTGTACTACACAAATTAACAAAATTTGTAAAAAAATATTTATTAATATTTAATATTAATAAATATTTTTTACTGTGTGGTTGTGAAATTGTCCCTATAATCTCCCTTTCTACATATTTTTTGTTTCGTTTTCTTCCCGCTGTCTCTTTCTATTTTCCTTTGCTATAGCACTACACAATGTGTAGTACACATTGTGTGGACAGTAACTGTTGTTAAGAACACGTTACGAATTAGACTAAAGTAAGTGTACTTTTTCAAAGAAATAATTTGCTAAACATTAACAAAATAATCTGTAACAGTCTCGTCCCAGCCGTCGAGTGAGTAAGTCGATGTAGCAGAGTCGGAGAGTAAACGTAAAACGATAAAACCATAACCAAAAAATAAACCCTCATAGTGCAAACTTCTATAGTGTAAAAAATACAGTGAGTACAGACTACTCTACGGTCAATAATTAGTTAAGGGCCAAGTGAAAAGGAAGAGAGAAGTGACAAGTGCAAACGAACATAGTTAAACGGTCAAAAGAGTGTTAAGTGACAAGAAAGAGTTAAGTGACAAGTGTCAGTGCCTGAGCGGTCGCACCATCTGTCAACAGGACGATTTCCACTGGCCAAACAAAAGAGGCCATACAAGGGAGGAACAGGCCACCTGCAAATATTTGCTAAGTATCCGCATGACCTAACACATAATTTGCAAATTAAACTAAACAAGGCACATTGCCTAATCCCTACAAAAAAAAACAATAATCATCGGCAACAAATAAAATAAAAAGTCAATTTTCCAAGAAAAAACCAAACAGCCGATCGCGGACACACACCAAAGTTGAACAGGGCAATAAAGCTGTCAACATAACAATTCAAGTAAAACAAACCGAGACCAAATAAATTTGACACTTAAGACATAAACAACACATAAACTAAGAAAACATAAACAAAGTAAAAAAAGCACTCTAATCAAACTCCATGGAATTTGTAAACACACTTGACTTATAGTAAAAGTAAAAAAAATACCCCCCACTGGGAACTGCCTTATCGCAGCGATTGCACATCAGCTGTTCAACACGGTAATTACGGCTTCTGGGCCGGACTGGAAACAATACTAGCCGCCTCAGACGTAGACAACGCAACAACATACTACAAGCCAACCTTAAA